AAAAAAAAAAAAAAAAAAAAAGAAAGAGAGAAGAAGCAAGCCACTTCTGTAGCACTTAGGGTGGCAGACGCACTCTCCTCCTACCCATGAGATATTCTGGGCCACCTGTGTTGTCCTGTGAGGTTGTACAGACCATGTCTGCCACCTGTGAAGTTGTACAAACCATTTCTTCAAGTCTATGAATTTGTAGAGGCCACCTTGTCTACCCAATGGAGTTGTCCTGAGTCTCATCTCATCTGCCACTCCACAGTTTAGACCACCTCTGAAAGTCCATGAGGTGGTACAGGTTACCTTTGCCATTGAGAGATTGTCCAAACCATCTCTGCAGTTCTATGAGATGGCAAATGACACATTTGCTGCCTTGTGTTTTACAGACCATCTGCATTGCTCTATGAGGTTGTGCAGGCAATGCTGTCCACCTGAGATTATACGGGCTATGGGAGCCCCATCTTGGTGAAGGGCACTTCTGGACATTATATGAATCATTCCTGCCACTCTAACATGCTACATAGGCCACCTAGTTTCCCTGGTGAGGCTGCACAGGCCACTTCGTAGGTTGTCCAGACTTCTTTGTGGCTTTATATAGTTTTAAGTCCACCTCTACCATCTTGGGAGATTGCACAGACCACATCTACAACCCATCAAGGCTTTATGGGATATATTTGTCACCTCCCAGAGTTGTGTGGGTCATCAATGAAACCATCTAAGTTTCCAAGTTCCACCTCTGCCCCTCCTAATGTGGACAGTCATCTCTGAAGCAACATGAGGTATGTGGGTGCTTCAGAGACAGTGGAATGGTCCTCCATCCCCCAGGTATATATTTAACAAGCCGGTGGACGGACATGCTCTGGTCATCTTTGGGGTGAAACTGGACTCCCGCCGGATCCCTATCCAAAGCTCCCTGCAGAGGGTGGAGGTGACTGAATCCCAGCTCCCCAGCCTCCAATTCACTCCACTTTCTATCACTTCCCAAGAAACCATATCTTCTTCCTCTCTCTTACCTTAAGAACAGATCTCGGAAGGCCTGGGCCACGTCTCCCTCCGGAAGGATATACTGATGGCTGCATTCCAAGGCCCAGAAAAGGACTTCATTGGAGGATCAATCTTTGTCAATGTCACCGTGTTCTCCTCAGGTGCCACCCTCACCCAGGCCCCTGACTGAGGTCAGGACATGGTGTTCTTGCCCAATGCAGACACTCCATCCACGTGACCTTGGGCCACCTCCTAGCCTCAGTTTCCTCAATAGAGAAATGGGAAACACCAGAAAGGGTGGAAGGAGTTGAAATGGTGTTATTGTCTTTCTCTGCCTTCACCAAGATGGGGCTCCCATACTAGTCCTGCCACTCACTTAAGAAATTGAACTCCCTCACATACTCTATGTTCCCACTATCTCTACAGGGGGTGAGATGGTGCAAGCCGAGACCTCAGGGGTGAAGATTGTCCAGAGCCCATACAACATCAAGTTCACCAGGACACCCCAGTATTTCAAGCCAGGAATGCCCTTCCACTTTCGGGTCAGAGTCTGGACTCACTACACCTAGGGACTCAGGGCCCCGTCCCCAAAACAGACCTCCCACAAAGAGACAAAAACCCACACTGGACTCACCTGCATCCAACTCATCTGAAGGTTGAGTCCATCATATTCCCCAGGCTAATCCCAGAGTGCCCCCAAACCTTAACCCAGATACCCCCAAAGCACAGTGATGACTCCAGAATTTCTCTATGGGGACTTAGAGGCCACAATCAGGCTGGAAGAGGGTGTTTGAGGGTTTATCTAGAGGCTGCATTTGCAAAGCAAAGCATGGTCTTTTCACATATATTAATTTGGATGGGCATTAGGAAAATCAGGGATGTCCTTTGGCACCAATCTTACTCCAAGACTCCTGTAGGGTCTCGTGTGTCCTCCTTCCCTCTCCACTCTCAGTCTTCCCACTTACCACCAGCTCCACAACACCCAGTGTAACTACATGTGGTTGTACACTGCAAAGCTCTAGGAGGCGCCATTCATAAAAACTCTAATATGAATGGTGCCCCTGGTGTTGTTTAGTGCACCATGTATAAAGTTGTACAAAGCAGTCCTATTCAGATCATATTCCAGTCTCACCTCTCACACCAGGCCACCCCAGGCTTTTCCTTCACCTCACCCCAGATTCCACCCCAGGTCTTCGTCTCAAATCCTGATGGATCCCCAGCTGACAGAGTCCTTGTCCAGTCCCAAAACTACAAAGTGTGCACCTCAACTGAGGGACTGGCCACTCTGACCATCAACACAGATGCAAATCTGGACAAGCTCCCCATCGAGGTACCAACTTGACAAGGCAAGGAGGGTGGAGTTGGAGCTGTGTGAGTTGGAAGGGTTGGGGTTTACTTGCCCATCATCCTCTCTAGGTGAAAACTGAGGAATCTCTTCAGCCAGAGGAGCAGGCTTCAGCCAAGATGACAGCTTGGCCTTACTTGACTCAAGATGGGTCAGGAAACTTCCTGCACATCGAAGTAAAGACATTGGGCACAGAGGTTGGCAGCAGCATCCAGCTGAGCCTCAATACAAAGCATCAGGACCCTAAAACCAAGGACCGGATTACTCACTTCACCATCCTGGTAAGGGGCTAGGACCAGCATCTGAGTCAAGGAATTCTTTCCTTGGAAAAACCTTGGCTTGCTGGGTTGGAGAAACTATGAAAAAAGATATGAAGATGGCAACAATCTTGAGTGGGCTCAGATCAAGAGGCTGAAGAAAAGAGACTATGAGCCTCCATTGTGGGGTGGGACAGCTTCAGGGAAAGACTGGCCTTACCCTTCTCATCCTTGATCTCCCTTGTCTCCAAGGTCCTGAGTAAGGGCCAGATTGTGAGTGCCAAACATCAGTCAAAAAGCCAGGGGAGTGTCTACACGTCAGCCATTATTGATGTGACTTCAGCGATGCTGCCCTCCTTCCGCATTCTGGCATTTTATTTACTTCCCAGAGGAGTGAGCCAGGATCCTGAGTTGGTGGCTGATTCCATATGGATTGATGTGAATGACAGATGCATAGGGACGGTAAGCCAAACTCCTTATAGTTGTGAATCATCATCATAAAACCCCAGAAAGGGGCCGTACAAATTTAGGCATTCCCAAACTGGAAGCCAAGGAAGAGGAGAATATGTGGCCTTAAGAGCTCAACACAAGGTGTGGCGATGATGCAAGTAAATAAATACATGGAATTGGGATTAGCCTAGTGGAGTTCTCAGATGCTACACCAGAGCAGTAGGGAACATAAACCTGAAAGTGGAGTTGTGTGGTCTATGATTCCCTTTTTCTGACATCTCTCTTTTTCTTGGCTCAGCTGAAAGTTGGCTTGAAGAATGATAGATTCTTCCCTTCTTTGGAGCCCAACAGCCAAGTGGAACTGAAGGTGACAGGTGATGCAGAAGCCACAGTGGGGCTGGTGGCTGTGGACAAGGCTGTCTATGTTTTGAACAGCAAACACAAGCTCACTCAGAAGAAGGTAAGAGCGTATGGGCTTTGGGCCAAGATGTTGCCAGGATATTCTAGCTGGAACCTCAGCTTCTTCAGCCATAAAGAGGACAACATCAACGTAATGATTCAAGGAGATGGTGCAAAGCCTAATGATTGAAAGGTGATAAGAGCTGAAAAAATGGGAGATAGTATGAGAATTATTATTTGAGCCTGCAATTCCAGTATACCATTTTTCCTTTCATGGAGGAGTCATATAGGTCCCAAATCCAGGTTCCTCTCTTAACCTCTAGGTCTGGGATGTGGTGGAGGAACATGACATTGGCTGCACAGCAGGAAGTGGAAAAGACAGATTTGCTGTGTTCAAGGATGCTGGATTGGACCTGAAAATGAGCACAGGAATGGATAGCCTGGCAAGCACAGGTACAGGCTTGGGGGGTTGGGGCAAGAGGAGGGCAGGAATGGGGGCAGTGCTGCCTAGTGGGGTTTAGTGTCAAACAGATATGGGCTGTAATCCACATCCTGTCACTTACCATGGGCCAGTCACATTTCTCTCCGAGTCTTGATTTCTTTGTCCATAAATTACAGATAATAACAGAAGTAACTCACTGTGTGTTGGTTAAGACAGGGTTAGCCATGTGTATCAAAGATACAAATAACAGTAGGTTAAACAGGTAGTTTATTTCTCATTCAGTAACACTACAGAGGTCATCCCGGGACTCAGACTCCTTCTAGGAGTCCATCCATGCCAGGCAGGAAGATGAAGGGAAGTGGAAAGGGGAGGACACTTCTTCCACATCTCATTGGTCAGAATACAGTCACATGGCCCCATCTAAGTGCAAGAGAGGCTGGGAAATGTAATCTTTATTCTGAGTGATCTATAAAATATGGAAGCTTACTTGCCTCCATATTGTATGAGGGATGATAATGGATTTGGAGACAACTAAGAGTGTATTCTCTCAGCTATAAATTGTAATATTAATAACAGTTCTTATTTATTACATGCCAGACCCAGTGCTAAGTACTTGTATATGCATGATCTCATTGACAGAACTCTGGTTATGCCCATTTTACATCACTGGGGAAATTAACACCCAGAGAGGTTAAGTGACTTGTTGAAAATTGCCCAGCTTTTAAGTGACAAATCTTGAATATAGGAGGCTGTCAGATGAAATGAAGTGATGCATATAAAGCGCTGGACATACAGCAAACACCCAATAAACATCATCAAGGATATTGATAATGATCTTGGTAATTGTTCTATCATCATTCCCTCTGACTCCCAGACTGGCCCTGCCCCCAGGACCCTCCTCCTAGCCGCCATCGCCGCTCCCTGAAGAGGCTGGAGACAAAGAGGAATGCAGGTCAGTGTTAAAGCTGTATGCCTCGCTCCATCTCCCCAACCTAAGGTATCCATAAGGGCTTAGAACAGGACACCAAAACCACTCTATGCATTTCTAGCAGGGAGGGATCTAATAGCGGGAGTTTGGTGCTTACAAAATCATTAGATGGGCTTTTGGGGTGGAAGTTGGAAGCCTGCTTGCTGGGACTCAAGATCACCCCACTTCAGTCTTGCAATCCATGAAATATCAGGAAACTGCTGCCAATATCTCTCAAAAGGCTGGTACGTTGATAATCAAACACGAAATTGTGCCCATTACAAAAACACACATAGACTGGAGCCCACCCATCAGCTACCACTGCTGCAAGAAAAATGGTTTCTGCTTCTCTTCTATCTCCCAGATCTCTCATAAGAGCATATTAGTGGCTGCATCTAATCCCATTCAGAACCCTAGCAGCAAGGGAGTCTGGGAAATG